GAAGTTTATGTTGTTAAGATTGATTTATGATTATTAAGGGTTTAATATTAGGTGATTAATTAGTATGTTATTAGAAATAATGATTTGTGAGTTGATTTGTTTAAATTAATTTTTATGGGTTAAGAAATTCATTTTTACCTTGCTGGAAAATCTAGACAGAATGGTCTTAAGGTTGAAGATGACCAAATTTTATTTTGGTCCTTGATTTATAAAAATTTCAGTTTAGTCCCTAAACTTTGGAAAAATCACAATTTCACCCCTAAATGTATTTTAAGATTCTATGCAGTGTTATTATGAGGTTAATTGATTTGAAATATTTTCAGTTTGGTCCCTCAATTATAGGAATTTACATCTTTGTCCCTGAACTTTTAAAACAATATAGTTTGGTCCCTGGTTCATTCTAGACAGAATTGAGGATGGTTTATGGGTGAAATTTCAATATGGTTATGTATTTATAGTTTAGTCTAGTTTTGGTAAAATTACATTTTGGTCCCTATTTTAGATAATTGTCGTTTAAGTCCGTAAACCTAGGAGATTAAATCTGGTTTTATTTTATGCATTGGAATCTTTTATTTGTTTTGTTTTGAGTTGCTTTTGAGTATATTTCATATATTTATTATAGATTTGTCTAACGATCCTTAATAGGTTTTTCAGGTATTTTATCTGATATTCCTTTTAATCTATATTCTTCCAGGTGAGTAGGATAATTTTTAATATGCATATAATATAAATAAATATGTATGTTGATTATATGATGAGTTCGAGTAGTTAATCTCTTGAGTATTTATATAGTTTGCTTTATTTTTCAAGTACTCATCTATTCTTGAATTTGCACTCGCATTCTGTCGAGTTAAATTCTATTTGATATGATGTACGTTTCTTTGATGATATGTAAATATTATTTCAGGTTCTTAGTTTCTGATAGTAGTTGGATTTTGTGAATGTTCCTACTTCTTTAGTTTTAGGTTGGTATACCTTACTTATTGTTGAAGGTTGTTTTGATTCGATATTTTAGACGCTCCACTATTATTTTTGTTTTAATTACTAATGAAGAGTTTTGAACTATCTTTTGATTTCATCAACTTTGAGTAATATAATGTTTCTGAAGATTATGAAATGTTACGTATTTTTAAATATCTTGTTTTTTTGATTTGTTTGTTTTGAGGCTTAGCGTAGATGGGGTGTTTTTTCGACACTATTCCTACATTGTCGATCATGAACTCGGGATTCGGGTCATGACAAGAATGATCAATTTTGAGATTATGCTGAGAGGAGGAGAATAGTAGGAAGTGCAAGTTCGTACCACTTCAATTTTGAGGATCATTTGTTGATTTGTTTAAATTAATTTTTATGGGTTAAGAAATTCATTTTTACCTTGCTGGAAAATCTAGACAGAATGGTCTTAAGGTTGAAGATGACCAAATTTTATTTTGGTCCTTGATTTATGAAAATTTCAGTTTAGTCCCTAAATTTTGGAAAAATTACAATTTCACCCCTAAATATATTTTGAGATTCTGGGAAGTGTTATTATGAGGTTAAGGATGATGAATCTCAGTTTGATAATTGATTTGGAATATTTTTAGTTTGGTCCCTTAATTATAGGAATTTACATCTTTGTCCTTAAACTTTTAAAACATTACAGTTTGGTCCCTGGTTCATTCTAGACAGAATTGAGGATGGTTTATGGGTGATATTTCAATATGGTTATGTATTTATAGTTTGGTCTAGTTTTGGTAAAATTACATTTTGGTCCCTGTTTTAGATAATTGTCGTTTTAGTCCTTAAACCTAGGAGATTAAACTTGGTTTTATTTTATGCATTGGAATCTTTTATTTGTTTTGTTTTGAGTTGCTTTTGAGTATATTTCATATATTTATTGTAAGTTTCTCTAATGATCCTTAATAGGTTTTTCGGGTCTTTGATCTAATATTCCTTTTAATTTATATTCTTCCGGATGAGTAAGATAATCTTTAATATGTATATAATATAAATAAATATGTATGTTGATTATATGATGAGTACGATTAGTTAATCTCTTGAATATTTATATTTATATATTTTGCTTTGTTTTCCGAGTACTCATCTATTCTTGAAATTTGCACTCGTATTTTATCGAGCTAAATTCTATTTGATATGATATACGTTTCTTTGATGATTCTGTAAATATCTATTATGCCTTGATATAGGATTTGTCAGTAACTCCATGCTACTAGAGAGTAGTTAGCCTATATGCACATAGTATTCTGTATACCTAGCTGATGAGAGAGGCATCAACCTGTGGCGACTGATCATCCCACAGTGGTCACCTTCGGGTGTCATCTGGTCACCTTAGGGTGTTATCTGATTTCTGAAATGTATTCCACTACGTTATGATAATATGCTTAGTATATATATACATATATATATATATATATATGTATATCAAGATAAATCATCTTGTAAACTATTAATACCTAAAATATCTAAAATATATATTAAATATTATTCCCTCACTGAATTGGTTGAACTCACCCCTCATTCTTAATATTATTCCAAGTTCTTAGTTTTTGATAACAGGTGGACTTTGTTGAGTGTTCCTATTTCTTCAGTTTTGGTCGGTATGCCTTACTTGTTTTATAAGGCTTCCTTTCCTTTTAGTTTTGATTCGATGTCTTAGACGCTCTACTATTTTTCTATTTTAATTAAGTTTAGTTTTTAACAATGTAATGAGTATTATGGATTATTGTTTTTGTTTTAATTACTGATGAAGAGTTTTGAACTATCTTTTGGGTTCATCAGTTTTGAATAATATAATATTTCTAAAGATTATGAAATACTACGTGTTTTTGAATAAATTGTTCTTTTGATACGTCTGTTTTGAGGCTTAGCGTAAGTGTAGTGTTTTTTTGACATCGCTCCTGCGTTGCCGATCACGGACCTAGAATTTGGATGTTCTGAGGCTTAGCGTAAGTGTAGTGTTTTTTCGACACCGCTCCTGCGTTGCCAGTCACAGACTTGGGATTTGGGTCGTGACAAATAATTTGGTGGATTATCTCATTTTGGAAACAAAATTCACCAAAATGTGTTCCATACTCTTAATATCTATAACTTCGTATTACTTTTTTTTCTTATTAAATTGCTTTTGAACTTACTTTTTGTAATTTTTAAATATTTCAAGATTCTCATTTTTGTTTCTAAGCAAATAAGTATAAGAGTACCTTGTGCAATTCTCTATATGTAAAGGTGATATAATGCTTCTTTCCTCCTTTGATTTATACTATTGTTAAATCATTAATGTCTGAGTGAATTTAATCTAGAAGTTCATTTCTTCTTTTAATTATTTGAAAAAAAAATTATAAATTTTGATTTTACACAAACCTCACAAGTATGCTTTTTCTAAAAGACCATGGTAGGTATTAATTCAAGATGAACCAATTTTGTATAAAATTATAATTCATATGCCCTAACCTCTCATGCCATACATCATAAGACTAAACCAAGTAAAAAAGAAGATGTATTATTAATATTATTCATCTTAACCTTACTTACAATGGTCATTAAATTTATTTTGAAAAGGCCATCACTAAGACATCCTTTTTCTACAATACATATTTAAATATTATTCATCTTAACCTTACTTACAATAGTCATTAAATTTATTTTGAAAAGGCCAAACATCCTTTTTCTACAATACATTTTATTTTTTAAGTTTACACTCTCAAATACAATTTTTTTTATATATATAATAATCAAAATTTATATAAAAATTAGTGCCAAAAAGACTTGGCTAATTAGAAAAAAAAAAGTTATGTTTGTTACAATGACAGAGAAAAAGAAAATAAAGAAATAAAAGCTCTGCAGCAAACTGAAAACTGACTCTTAAAAATCTAGTTGTCCATTGTATGATGCCTCAGGGCCCTCGATGATGTCTTTCCAGGACCTGCTTTTTATATGGAATTCTCCCAGCTTTAATGTGCAAGCAGGTTATGTACTGGTTAAATAAAAAAAACCCTTAAAATCAAGCTGGATTTTCTATTCAACATTAACTGCTGCATGCATCGCTTCATTTTTATAGATGTAACACCCAAACCTTGCATCAAAACTAACCAAAAAAATAAAATAAAAAACACACATATTAAGTGACTCGAAAATATTCCATGTATCGAATAAACTAAAGAAAATAAAATAAAATAAAACACAACCATGAAGGAAAACCGAAGAAGTACGAAAGAGGAATCCAGTTCTCTGAATCTGCCACTCTAGCGTTCTTCTCATGTCAACTTAGCTTGGTATCTCATAAGGTAGCGAGGATGTTTATTCGAAACTTCACTGCAATTTAGAAACATACAAATAATTTTTTTTATTTAATGAATCCGAAAGCGAAAGAAAAGACTAATCAAAGGAAATAGCACAGAAAAAATACCATAAACTCTTGCGCATAAAACTTTAAGATGTCAAATGCTTGTAGAACTTACTTCATGTTACTAGCTGCGTTGTTTAGTTTCTTCTTGCACCATTTCTACGAGCATTCTTCTTCGTTCTTCTTGCCTTCAGATTCCATTGATCTTCAACCACTTTCAGAAACCATGCTGGTTTTCTTGTTCTGAACACAACGTATCCCATTGTGACTCCAAACACAAACCCACTTCCATACCCTATTGCCACAGCTTTCCATCCAAATCCTTCTCCAAAGAATTTTGAATCATCTCCATCGTGAAAGTTTGACGGCTGCGATGGTGGTGCCTCGTCACTATTGCATTCTTTTGGCATTGGAAATCCACATAAGTCCAAGTTTCCTTCAAATGAGCTTGCATTGAACGTGTTGAACTGGTTTCCACCGGGTACGGGCCCTCAAGCAGGTTATTTGAAAGGTTTAAGACTTCAAGAAATGTTAGATCTGTCAACTGTACTGGAATTCTTCCAGTAAGAAAATTTGAAGATAGATCTAATGATTCCAGATTGGTAAACATTCCTAATGATGATTGAATTTGACCTGTAAGGGAATTATGAGAGAGGTTGAGTTGTTGAAGTGTTTTAAGCTTTCCGATCTCCTTCGGAATCTCTCCGATGAAATTGTTGTTTGACAAATCAAGTATTCTAAGAATGCTTTGGATTTTCGGGAAATATTGATCAAACCCTTTCCATGTCACTTCAATGTAATAGGCATAGTCAAAGTATTTAATTCTTCCCATCATGTAAAATGAATTTTGATCATAGACCATCATTGCTTCAAAACTATTGAAATACCATGTTGGCAATGATCCACTTAAATTATTGCTGGAGATGTCGAAAATCCATAATTTCGAGAAGGAATTATTAGCAATCC